CACCGGCCGGGTCCCCAGCTCCAGCAGCAGCTCCACCGTCCGACTCCTCAGCACCAGCAGCAGCTCCACCAGGTGGGTCCGCAGCACCAGCAGCAGCGCCACCCCCAGAGTCGGCAGCTCCAACTCCGCTAGCACCGCCAGCGCCAGAGTCCCCAGCTCCAGCAGCTCCAGTCACAGTGCTCCCAGAACAGCCAGTCCCGGCAGCTCCAGTACCCCCAGTACGAGCACCCCCAGGACGAGCAGCTCCAGCACCCCAAACTCCAGCCGAGCCACTAGGACGGCGAAAGCGTCGGACGTACCAGTCGCGAAGCTGCTGCGGTGTGAGAGACTGCTCAGCACCCCGAACCGGAGCACCCCCAGACGCAGTAACCCGAGGCTCCGTAGGCTCAGTAGCAGCACCCCCAGGCTCAGTACCCGCAGGCTCAGTACCCGCAGGCTCAGCACCCCCAGTCGCAGCACCCCCAGGCTCAGCACCCCCAGGCGGCAAACTCTCAGGCACAGTACCCTCAGCTCCAGCACCCGTAGTCCCAGCACTCCCAGGCCCCGCACCCGCAGGCTCAGCACCCCCAGGCTCAGCACCCCCAGGCTCCGTACGCTCAGGCACCGTACCCTCAGCTCCAGCACCCTCAGTCCCAGCACCTGCCGCCCCAGCACCCCCAGGCCCAGCACCCCCAGGCTCAGCACCCCCAGGCTCAGCACTCCCAGCAGCACCACCCGCAGCAGCACCTGAGTCACCTGTGACCTCGACAGGCTCAGCGACGGGAGGAGGGTCTACCTGAGAGACACCTGAAGGAGCAGGACCCTGAGGGGGAAGGGGGTCTACCGGAGGGGGACCAGGAGCAAGGAAAAGCGGCGGGGGAGGGAGGGGGGCAGTGCGGTAGGGGAAGAGACGGTAAAAAGGGACCGACTCGTCAAAGGTGACATCCTGAGAGGCGAAGACCCGGCGCGAGGTGGGGTGGTAAAACTGCCAGCCAGGCGCGTCAGGGACAAAGCCAAGGAAGACACAGGGAAGCGTGCGGGAGGAGAGCTTGTCCGCGGACGTATCGCGGACAAGGGCACGAGCACCCCACACCCGGAAGCGCGACGCATCGCCAACCTCCCCCGTCCAACGCAGTGTGGGCGAGGTCTCCGGCAAGGAGACACGGGGCCAGAGGTTGAGCTGATGCGCGGCGTACCGGACAGCAAACGGCCACAGAAAATGGGGAGCCGCCGCGTGGACCAAGGAGGTACGAGCGACCTCCATGACCAGGCCAATGCGGCGCTCAGCAACCCCATTCTGCTGTGGGGAGTCCGGAAGCGTGAAGGTCTGCTCGATGCCCTCCGCCTGACAGAAGGTCCTCAAGAGGTCGGAGGAAAACTCACCACCTCTGTCAGAGTGCAGACGCAGGACAGGAAGATCCGTCCGGAAACGGCGGCGGAGCTGGAGACGAACCGTGCGGATCCAAGGGATCAGAACAGCAGGGACCTCACCCTTGGTGCGCAAGGGGAAGACCGTGGTGTAACGCGAGTAGTCGTCGACAACCAGCAAAAAGTACCGCTCACCGCCCTGACCACGAACGCGGGCTGGGCCCCACACGTCCAGGTGGAGGGTCTCCAGAGGAGCCTCTGTCGGGGGGAACGAGGAGGAGTGAGGGGCGGCGCGCTGCCGCCCCTCGACGCAAGGAAGGCAAGGCGGCGCAGGCGAGGCAGGGAGGGGAGGGAGGGACCTGGGAAGACCGGACACAAGGAGGCGACGGTGCATGCCACGAAGGCGTGGCAAGGAGGGGTGACCCAGGCGGTGGTGCCAGAGAAGAGTCTGGTGCGACAGGGAACGACACTCACAGGCGTGGGCCACCAGACCTGACGCAGACACCTGACCGACAGCAGCTACCTGGGGAGACGCAGTGGTCAGTGTGTAGAGACTCGACCCCGGCTGACGGGTGAACGTAGCCAGGTGACGGCCGGTCCTGGAGCACGTGCAGATCGCCACACGCTGTCCGCCAGGGGTAAAGGTGTCAACCCACTGATCCTGGAGGACAGCGTTGCTCACCAGGTTCGTCGAGAACGAGGGGAGGTGGAAACCCGACAACGAGCCAGACGGAACCGCCGGACAAGGGAGGACAGTGGTGGACTGGGCAAGGACTGGGCCCCCAGAGGGGTCAGCCAAGGAGACTGGGACCGGTGCAGGAAGCGGTGTGAGCTCAGTACTGTCACGGAAGAAGCAGCGGGAAGCACCTGAGTCAAGGGTGAAGGTGTGACAGGCCTCAGCCGGTGCGGTACCTGAGAGAGGTGTCTCTGTGGGTGCTGTACCTGAGAGAGCAGACTCGAAACCAGCCGGGACAGCACTGGGGGGGGCAAGTACAGGGGGCACCATACCAGAGAGAGCAGACTCACTAGTACCCAGGGCAGCGGGCTCTATACCTGGGTCAGGCGGCACACACAAGTAACAGTCTCCCTCGGCACTAACAGTCAATGCATACATGGCAGCAATAATAGCATCATAGTCAAGAGCAAAGACATCAACACCAGCCCTCATGAGCTCAGCCCAGCGGGGGCGCTCAACATCCGCACCCATCTCCTCACGCCAAGCGTCGTCAAGGCGGGAGAAGCAGCGGTACGGGGTGTGGAACCTCCCACACGTCTGTCCCTTGCGGTCACCTGTGCGAATGACATAAGAACAGCGGGCACTGGCCCCCGACGTCCCACGCTGAGTAAGCCACTCACGAAGCTGCTGGGTCGTCTGGGGACGCTGCTGCTGCTGGGAGCTCTGGCCCGAGCCAGTGCCTCCACTCCGACCTCCGCCGCCACCACTACCACCGCTCCGACCGGCACCGCCACCACCGCCACCACCGCCACCGCCGCCACCGCCGCCGCCGCCACTACTGCCACTGCTTCCTCCGCCGCCCCCGTCTCCACCACCGACCCCACTCCCACCAGCGCTCCCGCCACCGCTCCCTCCAGCACCGCCTCCCCCCCCACCTCCCCCACCTCCTCCCCCCCCAGTGCCACCACCACCACTTTTGCCCCCCTTGCCCTTGCCGGTGCGGCGCCTCCCACCAGGAGTAGAAGCAGCGCCAACAGACTCAGCACCAAGGAAGTCAACAGCAGCAGCAGCAGCGTAGGAGGGAGCGAGGGGAGAGGGAGAACACCCCTCAAAGATGGGGGTGCGAGGAGCGCCACGAGCAGCACCGACAGCTACAATGCTCTTTTCGGCCGCGAGCAGGTGCTCCTCTAGGAGGGCGACTGTGAGCTCAGTGGGACAGCGAGCAAGGAAGTGGTCTCGAACTGAGCGGAGGGTGTCAGGGAGACGGGTGACTATGAAGTGGAGTGTCCAGTACAGTGGAGGGGGGTTCTTAGCGCAGAACTCGGTGGGAAGGGCGGCACGCAGGCGAGCATCACTAGTGCGAAGGTGGGTGATAAGATCGGCGACTGTAGTAAAGGTGGACAGATCGGGGAACAGGTACGGCAGCATGAGGCGGCTAAGCTCGGCTGTGGCAGGCGAGGAGTAGCGAGCGACGACAGCGTCGTACAGGGCCTTAGCGGATTTGCAGTCGCCAAAATGCTCTAGCTCAGCTAACGGCAGGTGACTGCGAATGGCTAGGCGAGCAGCTGCGTCACGAGTCTGCCAGTGGGAACGAACACTAAGCTCAGCTGTGGCAGGAGGGGCAGGCGCAGCACCAGACGCGTAATCATAGAGCGACACATGCTCCTTGCTATCGCTCAGGAGGAACAGCTGCAGGTCATCTAGCCAAGCGGTGAACCGCACAGGGCGGCCCTCAGCATCGAACGACAGCACGCGGATGGAAGCCATAGCGACAGTGTGACAGAGTAACGCAAGCTGCCGCAGCAGGGGAAGGCGACTGTGCACGGATAGAGAGCAGCGGGCGAGGCTGGCGCTACGGGCAGGCGGCGCTGCAAGCGGTCAGCGCGACGGGAGGGCGACGCTGCGAGCGGGCAGCACGGCGGACGGGCCGGGAAGCGGGCAGCGCGGCGGGCAGGCGGCGCTGCAAGCGGGCAGCACGGCGGGCGGGCGACGCTGCGTGGCGGGCGGGCCGCGAAGCGGGCAGCGGGCAGGCGGGCGGGCTGCAAAGCGAGCAGCGGGGCGAGCGGGCTGCGATGCGGGCGGGCCGCGAAGTGGGCAGCTAGCGGGCGGGCGGGCTGCGAAGTGGGCGGGCCGCGAAGCGGGCAGCGGGGCGAGCGGGCTGCGAAGCGGGCGGGCCGCGAAGCGGGCAGCGAGCGGGCGGGCGGGCTGCGAAGTGGGCGGGCCGCGAAGCGGGCAGCGAGCGAGCGGGCTGCGAAGCGGGCAGCGAGCGAGCGGGCTGCGAAGCGGGCGGGCCGCGAAGCGGGCAGCGAGCGGGCGGGCGGGCTGCGTAGCGAGCGGGCCGCGAAGCGGGCAGCGAGCGGGCGAGCGGGCTGCGAGCGGGCGGCTCAGCGAGGGGCGCGCGAGGGCGCTAGTGAAGGGGCGCGCGAGGGCGCTAGCAAGGGGCGCGCGAGGGCGCTAACGAGGGGCGCGCGAGGGCGCTAACGAGGGTGCGCGCGAGGGCGCTAACGAGGGGCGCGCGAGGGCGCTAACGAGGGCGCACGAGGGCGCTACGAGGCTAGGGCACGGGGTAGCGTGGTAACCGCAGCGAGCGGTGGTGGGCCCTTAAAAAAAACGGTCGGTAGGTCCTAGGGACCTCCTGCTCTGAATACCATGTCAGAATCACTAGGCAAGAATGAATGAACTAGCAGAAGTTTGGGTACAAATATGAAACCCTAGTTGGGGTTGTACCCCATATTGGCTACCCCACTACAGCCTACAAGCATAATACAGTTTAACAGAAGATCCCGACCCGCCCGTCACCAGATCTAGGGCGTCGAACAAGGGCGACAATCCTACTGCTCCCAGCCCGCCGACGAAGGACTCCGGAAGGGCTTCTAGGTTCGCGTCTCATGTTGTGGAAAAGGCGAAGGAGCCCGTGCCGGACGACATGGTGGCCGCTATCGCCCGAAATTATATGAAGGCATCTTACAGCAACGTGATGCTCATGAATCACCGCGGTGTCGGATGCGAGGTGGATAAGGACGACTTCATGTCCATCGAGGACGATCAGTGGATTACAGATGGGGTTATCGACTTCCACAACGTGTAAGTACCGTTATGACGGCCGCACCCTTTACGCGGGCTTTTGTTACTGATGCCTGTAGCAAGACGTGGTAACATGTACTTGTTCACCTCTTCGCAGGCTGCTTAGCATCAGGAAACCAACGCTCCGCAACGGGAAGACATGGGCCGCCATGGACTGCAGGGCTTACACACAGACGAATGCGTGTGGAGCGCCGTTGACTCTTGGGAACGGGCGGCCGCTTGTGGAACACGATTATCTGGCGATTCTGGTGCTAGAATCGTGAGTATCGTGCATAACGTGTTTTTTTATGGGTTTCTGTGGTGTGCCATGGTGTACTGTCTATCCACGAACACATTTAACACCGCTCGTATTGCGCGCAGTGAGCACTATTCGCTCGTCATCGCTATAAATCCATCGGTGCTCACCAAGTCGCCGAAATCGAAGGCAAAAGAGCGCTTGACGTTGGTCTTGATGGACAGCGCGATCAAGAATCGGAACAGCCGCAAGATTTTTGCAGGAACAAAGCTGTGAGTCTGGGTGTGAATAAGTTCGTATACGGTAGCCTTGCTTGATCTGTATATTAATACCAGTTGACCTGTTGCGTTCAGTGTGCTGTCTGAGCTCGCAAAGGCGAGCACTCCAAGCGCGAACATGGAGTTTGTAGACAAGACGCTGAAGGAGGCGGACTGCATAATTTTACGGGTCAGTATGCGACGTTGTTTGTGGACACCAATTTGCGGTTTGCACATGCATGTATGCAGACTAATAAACGTGGTGTGCGTTCCCATATTGGCAGGAGGATAAGCTGCCACAGCAGCCTAACAAGGAGGACTGTGGGATTTTTGTTTGCCAGTACCTCAAGACCCTGGTGAATACCGACTTCGCCACGGTTCTTTCGGGCCTCTGGTTCCAGGGTGTGACACCGCACCAATACAGGCGGGAGATGCAGCGCGACCTGTGTGCACACGCGAGCGGCGCTCTTTTGAAACAGCTGCAGGACCTGGGAATTGAGATCCCCCCGCAGGACGAAGGCCGGGTTACCGATGAGGGTACAGTGGTGCAGGTGAAGAACGCTGCTGTGGGAGATGGGAGGCCGGCACCGGTCACTCGCCCTGTGGAGGACGCACGGGTTACGGAGGTGATGAGGCGTGTAGCCTCATTGACGAACGATGTGAGGTACCTGAACGCCAGCTTCACCATGATCGCCAACTTTGTGGGACTGAGGCGGGACGAGATCGTGTCCGCTGCAACCCAACTGCTGCTGCAAGGCGGTCTCGCGGGTACCGGCACGAATGCAGAGGCGGGTGGCAACAAGACTGCGCCACGCACACCACAGCGTCCGTCTGCCCGTAAGAGGCGGGATGACAGCACCGGGGTAGCGCTGGCGTACGCAACGGCACCCGGGTAGCGCTGGCCTCCACGTTCGCTGCATGTGAGCCGACATCGAGCCTGCTGCCGAACCCGCTGCTCTCCCACGGTGCCATACCTCACTGGATGTTCACGCGCGGGAGGCAGCTGCTCGGGACGGGTGTGGGAGCTGGAGATGACGCGTGGGGAGACACGCTCGGACAGGAGACGGTGAAGGGCGAAGAGGAGGAGGATCTCGTGTCCGACTCAGACGACGATGGCGAGGACGAGGATACGTGTGCAACCACGTACACGGGTGTGAAGCTGGACAAACGGACTGGCAAGTTCGGCGTCAAGATCTTGATCAAAGAACGTGGAAAGCGTAAGCAGCAGCGACTAGGAGCGTACACGACGGAGGAAGAGGCGGCATTCGCGTACGCCACAGGTGCGTTCGTGCTGAGGCCACGCGACAGGATATCCAACACAGTCACCTTGTCAGCAGCTGAGAAGGCGATGCTGCGTGGATGCACCAAAGAAGATTTGCAGATACTGGTGGAAGCGAGGAAGTGGTGGAGGTGGCGGAGCTGGCGTGAGGCGCTGGAGAGCGTGAGCAGCAGGCTGAAACGAGGGAGGAAGCGTGGGGGTGACACAGGTACATCAAAGAGACCCAGGGTGGTGGATAACAACGACACGGCTACCAACGAACTGGCGGCCCCCGAGAATGCTGAGAGTGGGGGGACGGCCCCCTTGAGCAACGGGCACGGCGGAGGTGCAAAGGAAAATGACCAGGAAAAGCGACAGGGAGACAGTGGTGCACACAAGAAGACGGTAGCCACGGCGGCATAGTGGTTGTGGAGTCAAAGGATATGAGATACTTGTCGGTGCGTGTATTTCCTTATATCTGCGTTGCACTAGCTGATCTTCATAGGGTGCTTATGTGGTTGTATGCATGTGCGATCAATGCTAAGGATTGTGATTACACGGTGTGTTCGGGTTGTTTTGTTAGATGGATGCGTTATCGTGCAGTTGGTGTGCTGAATGTCGGAAAAGGTTTATGGAATCTATGAATACCGGAAACCGTATGTCTATACTAGTGTTCACACAAACGAGGTGCATGGATACGGTTGTGTCACCACGATGTGCGCAGTGTATGGTTCTGCTGTGGACACCCGTCACTGATAGGATGACGTGCTGTTCACTCATTGGACGTTTTGGGTTGCGGACATCCAGATGTGCACGAGGTATTCCTGGCTACCAAACTCCTCGAGTAAACGGTGTCGCGGTGTGTTTGGAAGTTGAGCTCCCAACTCTACGTAGAAAAATGGGTAGCGCGTCACTATCAAAGCATCTCACTGGATACTTCAATTGCTATAATGGAGACCTCGATGGCTTCCGAGGATACGAGGGCCGGAGGCCGCTCACGTCGTGTCTCGCAACCGCCGGCATACCTGCGTTCGTCATACCAGTTGACGATGCCGCGAGGTCGGCTGTCGAACGGGAAACGTGGGGAGACCGTTCCCAAGCGCCTGAGCTTGTCCACTAAGGGAAAGGAGGTGGCACATTCAGAGCAAGGTATGCAGAACGAGCTTGTGTGGATGAGTCCCGAAGTTTGTTGCACGCGATGTTGTAACACCGTCGAACAATGGAGTAACGCAAGATGCCAACTTGTGGTGTTATGCTTCCCTGGTGTTTCTCTCACCCACAGATGACGGCACGGGTGCAGAGAGTGCAGATTCGTCGGAGCGCAGTGAGGAAGAGGACGAGGAAAGCGAAGACACATCTGCGTCAGGATCACACGAGGAATCCGCCGACCTGGGTGCTGGAGGGAAGACGAACGACGATGGATGTGCGGGAATATCCGCGGCCAATGCTGACATGCGCACACATCAAGATGCGCGGGACACGGATGTGGCTCGAGGCGACGGCCGAGGACAGGCGGACGGACTTGTTGGCCGCACACGCGTGAACACCTTGGACGCCAACGGCGATGACGTGCGCATCCCTAGCCGGATCCTCGAGCAACTCATACAGGCGCAGGACAAGAGCGCCAAGGAGAACGCGCGGTTGGAGGCGCTGTTCTTGAATGCGATGTCTCGGCCTTCCGGTGGCTCTTGTAAGCGTAATGCTCAGAAGCAGAGAGACCCGGGGCAGGGTTGTATGAACCCGAAGCGTCAGCGTGGTGAGACGTGGAGTGGCGGGTCCGACGGCGACGGCGAGGATGACGATGACGACACGCATGGTTCTGGTGGCCGTCATATGCGTACGGCCAAGTCTCCTATTCTACAACGCGCGTTGGAGCATTTGCCGACGGACAAGGCGTGGAAGGTGAGCGGGCATGTTACCGTTGAGGCCCTATTTCCGTTCGTCGTATTGGGCTGCCATGTGGGTCAGTTGATGGTTACCGGTTTGCACTTATATTATGTTTTGTGTACACCGTATGTGCGCAGAGGGTTTGCGAGCTGGCCAGGGTGCACATGTTTCTCAACAGGCCGACGTCGACGATGACCTTCTACCCGAGCAGCGACGATAAGACTCACGGAGTGTGTGCGGTGCTGGACCGCCTGCCGCATAGCTTCGCCTGTTTGGTGTTGGTGGCTGACAAGTCGCGTCGCGCGGATCTCAACAAGACGCTCTCTGAGTGGAAGACAAGGGCTGCCGCACGCGTGCGAGACATTGCACTTCCCAAGCTCGGATTGTTCCGCGACGACAGGGACGCATGCAGCCCATGGGCGCCCGAGAAGGCACGCAGTATCGATAAGATCAGGGAGCGCATTGGTCTTGGCGCTGACCCCCCTGGTGAGTGCATTCTACCACAGTAGAGAGGGTTACCTACGTATGATTATGCTGACCACCTCGTGGTTGGCGGCCGCTGACACAGACAGTGCGCATGTGGTGTGCAGAAACCCTGGTGCTCACGAGCTGGGCGAACGACCGCGATGGCATGCCGTTTGCCTCCCGGGCATTCGCGACATGTGCAAAGGCTGCATTCAGGCCCAAGAAGGCCGGGCTGGTGATGACACTGAAGGTGTACCACCTGGCCTGGTTGGAGCATGTGGTGAGTCTGTGCGCTCTATGTGAGCCATGTTTTCGCGTTATACTGTCGGACCATTTGGGTGACACGCTGGGTGGTGGATGCGCAGGTCTCCGACTGCGTCCTCTACTGGGAGGAGAGGAAAGGCCGGCTTTCCAACTCGGCCGGCGGCAACGCACACGTCGTGGACGGCCTCAAGGTCCTGGTGAAGGAGGCCGTGGAGAGGGCGATCAGGATCCGCAACCCGGAGTATGACGCAGAGCGAGAGGCGTGGATCTGGGGGCGCCATGGACTGCGCATCTCTGCGTGCGGCCTGGAGCACATGAAGCCCACCGCCGCAGCTCAGTCCGAAGAGCCTGCGGGGGACGACGACCTCTCGGCGTTAGTTGGTGATGAGTAGGCCGACGAGCGTGTGGGGGCGTTCAACATTGAGGCGCGCACCGTTGGTGGGACTGGTGGCTGGTGTCGTGGAAGGCATCATTATCGGTTCCATGTCAAGGGTTTGAGCAGGCTTTTTCGTGGGCACTGGATGTTGCATGTGTGGGCTCTGAAGCTAGTGGGGTTATTTATATGCATGGCTACGTTGTATGCTTGTGTGTGTATATGTTGTTAATGGGAGAAGTATTCATTGGGATATAGACGCATTTGACAGGACAACAAGGATACCCATCGGTTGTGAAACACATCGGGAAGACAGTCAACCAGGTGTTTTGTTTGGCGTAGACCGCGCCGCAATTTGCGGCGCTTTTCACGGAACGTGGCAGGTGACACGGTAATGTGTGGCCGTAAAAGCATCCGCGGTGCGCAAGCGTAGACATCTGATTGGATGCAATGGATAAGAAATGAGGACCCACCAATTGCATACAATGGTTGCACGCGCTCACGTACACGTGTCACAGCACGGAGCGAAGGCGAAGTTGAGGTTGACGGGGGGGACTCGCTGTGATATGCGGTTAGAGTGCGACTGATGTTCGGTTGTGATTGATTAGCGAAGACGTCGCGAACGCGAGCCACGATGAGATGGTTTAGGGTTACTGTATGTGCGAGTACACGATCGCACGGCAAGTGTACGGGGTAGATCGATTAATTATGCGTGACGTGTCAGCACGGTGGTGGATACGATGTACACAGATGGACGATGCAGATGGCGTTGACAGGTAGTCGCGCGTGCGTTACTACTGGTTGGCGATAAAGCTGGCGAAGTGTACGATACGGGGGCGACGCGACAGGTGTACGGTGATTATGCAATGTAGTGCAGGGTGCGGACGGGGAATGCGCAAGTGTAGTGAGGCCACGTGGTAGCATGCTAGTGGGTATCAGCAGCGTGACTTGCGGTTAGCGCCCCTGTGGGTTGCCTCCAACTGTCAACTGTGTACTGGATGTGTGTCCATCAGATGTACGGTGCAGAACCGCGCGCGGGGTTGGCGCGAGCATGTGCGAGTTAGTGTTCGCGAAGTCGTAACGTGGTGTGCGAATTTATGTGCAGGCGTTACGTGAACCGTTGAGATTGCGTGACCCGAGTGTTCATCCAACGGTTGGGGTGCGGGTACGTTTTGGTGCATGTACGCTGACGTGGCCGTGCGGGTTGAAACAGGGTGCCACGTGGGTGTGCGCGTACGGAGTGGCAGTTGGGGTTGCGTACTCGTCGCTTTCTAGTTGGTTGGCACGGTATGGTTAGGTAAACTTTTGTGTGGCGCAGCCCGTTTCTGTTTAGCAACTGCGCAGATGCGGGTGCAGTGGCTAATTTGATGCACGCATATGTACAGAATGTCGCGGGAAAGTGGACGCAACGTTGCTTTGTAAGTGACTGTCGCCATGCAGATCTAAAACCTTGACTCAAAAGTGCCGGGAAAAAAATATCGGGAATGTTGAGTAAAAGTCTATTTCGATTTGCTTTTCGGACTTTCCATTTTCGCGAAGTCACCCAACGAGGCGCAAAAGAGATTTAAAATTTGGACGACAGCCATTGTCAGAGATTCCGATTCTGTCAGTCGAGGATAGGCAAGGCCAGATGTAAGCTGAGAACTTGTGAAGAGAATTCTCACTGACTGGTATCAGGATGGTAAAGCTAAATTGAACTCTGAGCCTGATTGGGTCAGGCAAGGCTGAATGACAAAGAGCGAGCGGGCTGCTGAAACTACTGCGAGGGATGATTTGAGGTTAAAAGGCAGCTCCATTATGTAGTTTAGGAACGCGGATCCGGGCGGAAACGGACAGTCGAGACGCCGATGATCCGTCGGAGGCAAAAGCGACGCTTCGCGGCGTAGCTCGCACGAGCGCGACAACGTATCCCGAGACGTCGCTAGAGGTTTCTCTAGCAGATGTGCTACGAGCAACCAGGAACCGTCGGCAAGGATCGCCTGGAAGACGGCGTGACGCCGCGTGGATCAGAAGGGGTCCGACGTCGTTGCGACAATAATCACGCGACTCGACCCCGCAGCGAGCTGTACTAACTGTGTTGGGTCCGAAACTAAGGGCGTTTCACCTCGCTGTTCGAACAACACTCTTGTTCGAACAAGCGAAATGTTACCTTTTTCGCCAGGCTTCGCGCGGGATTCTACGACGTCGCATGACGGAATTGTCGCCCATCCGAACAACGCTGTCACATCGGGCGGGTAGCAATTCACGCTGCACGTTTGAACAGAGCTGTTCGAACGCCCAGATATTGGTGACAGAAATTTCGCTCGTTTCAAGGCATTTGATTGGTCAGCAGCTCGCCGCGTCGTCCACGAATGAGTTTTTGGCTTGGGAGAGTCGCATTGAACACAAAGCATTTTTTGCCTGTTCGTAGAGGCTGACGAAGCCTCAAATGGTGGATTCGTCGCTTTGTGCCATCGCTTGATTTTGGACGACGTCGCATGTTCGAACAAGGCGCTTGTTCGAAAAAGGGGGGGCGTCACCTGGAGAACACGCTGTCACATTTATTTTTCTGTTCGAAATTGTTTTCGGAACTACAGTTGTTTTCGTATATAGTCCGACGGAGAAACACGCCGCGCGCGGACTATATGTCAAAATGTCCGAAACCCCGGGCAAACGGGACCCTATAGTCCCAAATTCGAGAAAAGTGCATGAAAAGCTGTTTTTTTGTCGCTACTAGTTGTTGTTTTTTGTCATATACGTACGTATGGACCGCGCTTGCTTCAACTTCTCGTCGAACGGTTTTACGCGTTATCAGTGATGCGTGAAAAACGGGCAGAAATAAACAACATCGATTATGTTTGATGCCATAATAAGTTTGTCTTTTTGTTTTTCCTTCCTGTCAGCGAGATTACTGAGATGTCATCGTGGAGCGCGCTAGGAATCGCGCGACGGGAATAAGAAACAAGCGCGGTCAGGAGAAACAAAAACATATCAGTTGTAAATGTTAACTTCAAAACAAAACTGCCTTTTGTAGCATTTTCCGTAAATGTTCAAAACACTTATACGTGCAATGAACCTGGTCAAAAAAGGGACTGTAGAGGAGGGGCCACACCTAGGTGTCAAACATTGCATGTTTATATTGTCTAGGCTGTAGTGGGTTACACCTTAGGGGGTACACAAAGTTAGGGTTTCCTACTTGTACCAAACTCTGTTCTAGTTCATCCATTCCTGCTCAGTTATTTCTGACATGGTTTCAGAGCAGGTCCTTCGCTAGGACTGTTCTTAGGGCCCACCGACTTACCTACCTGCTTACCTTCGCTTGTTTCCGGCCCCGCTGGCCCCGTCGATCTAGCAAGATCTAGCGGCCCTGCGGCCCCGTCGAAATTTTTTTTTTTAGCGGCCTCTCACGGCCCCCGTCGCGTCGCCCCTTAGCGCCCCGATCGGCCCCGTCACGCCGCCCGCGAACCGCACAGCGCGCCGCGCTCACAGCCCGCGAACCGCCCGCGCACAGCCCGCGACCCGCCTGCGCAGCCCGCGACCAGCCCGCGCAGCCCGCGCACAGCCCGCGAACTGCCCGCGAGCAGCCCGCGACCTGCCCGCGAACCCCCGCGAGCCGCCCGCGACCCGCTTACGCAGCCCGCGAGCAGCCCGCGCAGCCCGCGCTGAGCCTGCGCGGCTCGTGCGCTGACCGCCGCCGGCCCGCACGCTGCCCGCACTGCTCCCGGCCCGCCGCTGCTGAGCCCGCAGCCGCCCGCGCACCGCCGCTGCTGAGCCCGCCGCCGCCCGCGCACCGCCGCTGCTGAGCTCGCCGCCGCCCGCGCACCGCCGCTGCTGCGCCCGCTGCCGCCCGCGTATCACCGCTGCTGAGCCCGCCCCTGCTGCGCCGGCTCTCGCTGCCGCCTGCTGCGCCTGTGCACCACTGCAGATCCTACTACTACACTTCCTGCTACTGCTGCTTGTGCGCCACTACAGTCTGTAGGCCCCACCGGCCCGACTGACCCTGCGCACGCCTGTTCAGTGACTTTACTGCTTCTACTACTGCCGCTGTCGCTATGGCTAGTCCTCCTGTTCTAGCTTTCGACGCCGAGGGCCGTCCGGTCAAATTCGAAACCTGGCTAGATGATCTGCACCTTTTCCTACAGCTCACTGCCAAGGAAGATATTACACTGTACGACCACGCTCTCGGCCATGCGACCGCCCCACTCGCTACTGCCCCCCCAACTGAGCGCTCACAGTGGCAGACCCGTGACGCGCACGCTCGCTTTGCTATTCGCAACTCCCTGCCGCTAGATGAGCGCGAGCACTTCGGCCAGTGCAAGACCGCTAAGGACCTCTACACAGCTGTAGTGGCCCGCTACTCCTCACCCGCTTCTGCCACACTAGGCCGCCTCACTCTCCCCTACCTGTTCCCCGACCTAGCCTCTTTTCACACTGTCGCAGACCTCATCACCCACCTTAAGACTAGTGAGGCTCGCTTTCGCGCTGCCATGCCTGATGAGTTCCTCGCTAGCAACCCCCCCCCGCTCTGGATCACTCTCTACCACGTTGTCACCCGCCTCCCTGACTCTCTGCGCCCTGTCAGGGACCAGTTCCTCTCTCGCTCCCCCACTGAACTCACCATAGCCCTCCTCGAGAAGGAACTGCTTGCAGCCGAGGCTAGTATCGTCGCTGTAGGCACCTCTCGTGGCGACCCCCGCGGCCCCTTCTTCGAGGGGTGCTCCCCTTCCCCCCTCCTCCCCTCTGTCGCCTCTGCTGCTGCTGTCGACCTCCTTGGTGCTGAGAAGGTCGGGGCTGCGTCTGCTTCAGGCGGACGACGCAGGGGCAGGAGTGGCAGGAGTGGGGGTGGTGGCGGAGGAGGCGGGGGTGGAGGTGGTGGCGGTGGAGGTGCGACTGGAGAGGCTAGTGGCGGCGGTGGTGGAGGTGACAGCGGTGTTGGGAGTGGTGACAGGGGCGGAGGTGGCAGCGGAGGCGGAGGTGGTCGTGGCAGCGGCAGGGGTGGAGGTGGCCGGGGCGGAGGCGGAGGGGGTGGTGGTCGTGGAG